TAGAGCCCTAAACATTATAAATGTAAGCATGAGAATCCACTTAGAGGAATTTTGTAAGCATGTTTGTATGCTAAATTGCTTTAAGGAATCAAATAATATATATTCTCCTAATTAAGATTACCACTATGTATATTGCTTTGTGTGGAGTATCGACAGATTTCATCGAATAGCAAAATGCGACCACTTTTCTCATCAACGTCTTGCGTATATATGCAACATTCCTAATACTTAATATATATATATATATATATGAAGCCAAACATGGTTGAAGAAAATTAGGTGGCCGACTTATCATATTTATTGTGAAGGAAATTATGTGGTAGATTGTCTGTGAAACTATAGTGTTGATCATGTTGGTGTTCATTGGTGAGATTTTTGATGTATGTAGTTGCGGCTTTTGCTAATAAACTTTCGGGGCTTCCAAATTTTCATTTCTCTTGTCTAAATTGATTTTTGTTTCTAATAATTTTTTACTTCTTTTTAGGGTTTGGCTTCATGTTCTCTCTAACATATTTTATCTTTATTTTTTCTTCTTCAATAAATTCACAATAATGCTTTTTTCCATGATAGCAATGTTGGAGTGGAAGTGACATTATTATTTTAATTAAAAAAAATGGTCGAAGATTATGGATGTAGCCTTTTCCTTTCAAAGACTTCAAGCATTGTATAAACCATGCATTAAGAGGGTTATTATATATAAATGACAATATGTATATGCTTATAAAGATCTGTCAATTGTTTATTTGTTCTGGCTCCTGATAATTGTAATGTGAGTATAAGCAACTTGTTGTTTTGCAAGTTGCAAGTAAGCAAGTGTGTAATCAACAGACAGATGGATATTAATTATTTCATATGTGCAATGTATCCCAGTTCCTATCTAATAGGGTTTGCAGAAACTATCAGCAAATAAGTGTTTTAGTCTGAGTACACCGCTTTAATTAAGAACTTGTGTCCCAAGCTGAATGCCGAAATGGACGACTCCTTAATAATTTTTTAAGGGGTTTCTTCGTTTTAATCTTTGATAAAGATTGAAATTCAATTAAAACCTTATGTTAGATTATATATTCATTATAGTCCCTTGATTATACTTCCATGTCATCATAAATATTAAAATTCATATTTTCTTGTTTTAAAAGATTTAGCGCCTTTTTTGGTTCCCATAATGCCCATATTAAATATTTGGTTTTATTTTGCTCCATATTGTTTGGCATTGATTATTGTTTGACTTTCTCAAAAAATAAACATACCTCATCTAGACGTCCAAAAAACTATTAGTGATATGTTACAAGAATTAAACAAATACCTAATTTAATTATTCATTACCATCATCCAAATCATATAGGAAATAAAAATACCCAAATCATTTATTATACATAACCGAATGCACTTAAATGATGCCCTAATGTGCTTAAATCATAGTACGTAGTCGAATGCACATAAATCATAGTACCAAGTCAAAATGCACCTAAACTATGATACCTACCACAATGCATCTAAATCACAGTATAATGCACCTACATCATAGTACCTACACGAATGCACCTAAATAATAGTACCTACATGAATGCACCTAAATCATAATATACAGTCGAATGCACCTAAATATTTGTACCTTAGGTTCCATGGTAAAAAAAAAAAGCAATGGCATTAAAATATACTATATACATAGCCCTCTTAATTTTAGAAATAGAATTACTAATTTCTAGAATATGAACTAAAATCAGTTTGAAATTTGAATGAGAATAAAAAAACTACTGCAAAGTATCATATACATTATACATCCTAAAAAAAAAAACTATAATAAATGACGTCCTATGATTGTTAACATAAAAAAAAAAAAAAGTCTTCATTGCAAACATTCAGAAAAAGGGTATAATTGGAAGAATAAAATAGAAATCAACAAGGAAATAAATGACAACCTAATGTGGAATTATGTAGGTTGACGTGGCTATTTGGTCAGGAACTTAATTCAATCGTTAATCTTTGCATACGGTATTATTCTAAACTAATTTTTTTTCAAGGATTAATATCTAGTTTCTTATTTTTTTTTTAATTCGTATAAATATATAAACTAGAGATTGCTAGCTAGGAAATAACATATATGGACCACAAAATTAAGTAGCTTTGGGAAGCACAAACTTCTTAAGGCTATATTTGGGTGAGGGATACCATGGGAATGACAGTAAATTAATAAGAAATGGATTATAAAATGTTAGATAGGAGGCGTTACCAAAATCTCATATGAGCATTGCAAAGACATGTAAAAGAAATTTGTAAACAGCTTCTTTCAAGTAGGGATTTGCAAAATCCTCTCTCATGCTTTGTAAGGGTCATATGATGTTTCCTAATCTCTCTCATCTTACACTTTATGATCATTTTCTTGTTAGTTTGGCCTCAATCCTTTTAGGACTTGAAAGTCTCCCACCCAAATATATAATTAAAGAAATATTTAATAATTAATCAGGAGTAGAAATTAAACTCGCTTAATTAGATTTTATATTTTCTATGCATATGATGCATAATTAACATGTAATTAAAATCTTCTAAATGCCAAATGAGAAAAGTTAATCAAGGGAGGGCCACGCCTATTGGTAATGCAACTTATGTTCAGCATATAGACACCAACACACATAAATCCATTTAGAAGTCCCTGTTGGGTTAATAAACAATATAAAAAGGACCAAGGGTTTTCTCAACGGGAATTCTACGTTTCGTTTTTAATTACTCATTTGTCATGGAAGTGTCTTATTTCTTAGGGTGATTTTGTGAAAAAATCAATAAAAAGTTACCATATTAACAATAGATCAACAATATTTATGTTAATTATAAATAGGTCAATCATGTATTGTGATACTTAAATGCATTTAAAATAAACAAAAATTACAAAATTTGCAACTACAGCTGGCACCCACTTCAACTAACACTCTCTTTCTTATAGTTTTATATTTGGAATAAGTCAATACGGATCAGACACTGCAATGTAGTGTTTGTTTCTTGATTCTGTTTTTTACATTTGGATTCAGACACTGAGTTGCAATGTCCATTTATTGGTTTTGTTTTTTCCATCACTCACACGCCTCCTACATGTTCCTTTGTACATTTGGATTCAGACACTGCAATGCAGTGTCCGTTTCTTGGTTCTTTTTTCACTTTTGGATTTAGATGCTGCGTTGCAGTGTCCCTAGTTCTGTTTTTTACTTTTGGATTCAAATGTTGCGTTGCAGTGCCCGTTTCCTAGTTCTATTTTTTTCCATAACTCGCAAGTCTCCTGCACTACACACCTCACGCGACTTCTGATTTTACATTTAGATTCAGACACTATAATGCAATATCCGTTTCCTAGCTCTGTATTTTACATTTAGATTCAGACACTGTAATGCAGTGTCCATTTCCTGGTTTTGTTTTTTTACAATTGGATTCGGACATTGCAATGAAGTGTCCGTTTCCTGGTTCTGTTTTTTAAATTTGGATTCGAACACTGCAATGCAGTGTCCGTTTCTTGGTTCCTTTTTTTTTTACTTGAGTAGACTCCTTCATGTAAACGTAGGGCGAGAGAGAGAGAGAGAGAGAGTGATAGAATATACATATTCTAACTATTTATTGGATTCAGATTCTCTCAAGATCAATTATATAGGAATAGAAATCCAACGGTCGAATCCTCTTCCCCCGCCTCTCTTCCCCCTTAACTCCTATTTCTCCCTCGCACCCCCACACCCCACCGTTGTTAACAACCCCCAAATTCAATTGCAGGTCATCTGTGCTCTAAGTCTGATTTATTTTTTCACTATCCCTTACTGTTTTAGTTTTTTATTTGTCATCTCTTTCTTCTTCTTCATCTTTGAGATTTCTCTCTCTCTCTCTCTCTCTCTCTCTCTCTCTCTCTCTCTCTCTCTCTCTAATTCTTCCATAGTTATGAAAAAGATCTTTACAACCAAAAGACTTTGGTTTGCACGACCCCTCTCTTTATTGTTTCATTAACATCGACTGAGATTTTAAGGTCAAGGGACTTGCAACTGAGGGATGTGGTGGTGATGGGGCTGATTTTGGAGAGGGCGAGGTGAGGGACTTGCAATTGGTGGTTGTGGGTTGGGTGTGTTGAATTTATTTTGGAATTTGAGGAGTTGGTGGTGCGAGGTTGAGAGCTTCGAAGTGAGGGAGAAACAGAAGAGTTGAGGGGAAAAGAGGAAGGATAAGAGATTTTGGCCATTGGATTTGTATCAATGGATGAGATCCATCGACCCAGAGGATCTCCACAAATTGATCCGGAGATGATCTAAATTCATATTTATAATAGTTTAAGCCCATATAACATTTATAGAGAGAGAAAGAGAGAGGTGAATAATAGAATAGTTAAATTATAACTACTTATAATGACTTAAAGCCTATGTGGCATTCATCATTAACTTATGCCTAATTAATAAAAATAAATCATTGATTAAGTCCAAAACAAAAATATGTCATTGATATATGGCTTAATAGTAAAGTTTTTATTGATCATTGGCTAAATTACGCTTATTTCTTATTAATGTTTCATGAAAACAACGAAAAAGAAAAACAGATACCAAGTCAAATATCCTACAAGATTTACTTCAGACAGTCTTACAATGTAGTCATAGAAGACAGAAAACTATGCGATCTGTTGAAGGTGACAAAGTGTGTGTGTGTGTGTAACTGTTCCAAAGATAATCCTGCTAAAATAAGCATAAAATAAAGAAAAGGCAAGTGAAAAATCTGGTGGATCTATTAGTAACCCCCTAAATTCCGGGACTTCTGCTACTTTCTGAACGTAGAGAAATAATTGCCAGGTAGCTAGCCGTTTAAAGCTGAAACCTCAAACCATTCCATATGAAGGAAAAGTAAGAGTAGTGAATACCCACAATCATGATAAACTGATCAGAAGACTATTTCCATGAATCCAAGACACCGATCGAAAATTCATTGAAACAAAAGACATATGAAAAAAGAAGCAGAAGAAGAAGAAGAAGAAGAAGAAGAACATATGGGGTTCAGAAAAGAACAATAAATAAAATTTAAACATGGGAAGTGGTACTAGCTTGAACCAACAGGAACAAATTAAGTTGCAAAACATGGGCGTGATGTTAACGATGATAGCTAGTCCGTGAAATTTGCTTACCTTGTATCTCCAACAAAGCTTGTCTCATCCAATATGCACTTAGCCCTCCACAACGCACGCAGAAGCAGCTTCGAATCTAAATTAATTAAGGTCCTAAAATTAAACATCGCCGATGATCCTTCAGAAAATCAGAATGGTGGACGACCCCCTGAGTTATTTCCATCTTCAGCCCACCCATCGATTGGCAACTGAACATTTTGCATATTCAACGGCAAATTGAAGAATGGAAGCCCCGAAGACGGGTCTGGAAAAGGGTTGTTCCCAACACTACCACCACCAACTCCACCACCACCGCCACCACTACCCCCGGATCCCTGGGGATCCTGCACCTGCAACTGCTCCTCTTCATCCAAAGGCAGCCTCTCGTAAGCAACATTAGTAAACGATGAGGCGATCACAATAACGGGCCCTGCCGCGGTCAACTCCCCAACAACGCTTCCCCCGACAACCTGCCCCTGCCCGCCGGCCAAGAATATGGTCAAGCTTGTGGCCCCGGGCGGGGCAGGCGGTGGTAAAAAAGACCCTGAAAGGGATAAAATCTCAAACCTTCCATGAAGGGTTACTACGGCCCCTACTGCGGCCGGCTGCCGCAAGGTCACATTAGTAACGGTGCCACTGCCGCTCAAAATACAGATCCCACGCTGGCGGCGCCGGGCGTACGTGGCGACGCAGTCAAAGACGTCGCAGCCGTTGCCTACCTCCAGAATATGTGCTCTGAGAGTGTTTGCACTCTCTCTTGTGATGATGACCGGTGGTTTTGGCTTGTTTTTGGATCCTGGTGGACGGCCTCGAGGCCGGCGGACCACGATCTCTCCTGACCCACCGTTGATGCCTCCGAGGTTGAGGCCACCCTGATGATCATCTCCTGATGAGAACTGGCCCGTTGACCTGTTGGCTACTGCATCGTCTTCAGAATCGGTTTGCTGTTGATGTTGTTGTTGGAGCTGCAAGTCTTGCCTGTGAAGCTGGTGAACGTAGCGAGAAGCTGAGCCTAAATCCAAACCAGCCATGGGCACATCAAAAGAAAAACAGAAAACAAGGAGGAAAATTTTAAAAATGTTTTTTTATTTTATATAAAATTAATTTATGAAACTGGGAAGCAAATTTAAAACTGATTGTGGTTTTTCTGCTTTTGTTTATTTTATGGAAGTGGGAAAATTTTATACATAGAAATAAAAAAAAGAACGGAAAAAAGAAGGGAGATATATAAAAAGAGGGTGTGCTCCGGTACTCGATGTTTTCAAAGAAAACAAAAGCAACAACCACAACAAGAACCAGGAAGATCGAGTGCAGAGATAGGGACGGTGAAGAAGAGGAGGGGTGAGAGGTTGGGGTTGGGGGCGACAAGGACTCAAACATTTCTCTCACACCAAAAGCTTAAATATACTACTAGAATATTGATTTGAGTAAAGTTTTAATATTGATTTCCTATTCTGCGGAAGAGGGTATGATTGCAACCATGACTCTCAACCTTAGAGAGTAGAGTAGACGCTATCTTAAAAAAAACTTACAGGAAGTCGCGCATTGCATCAGTTATTATAATTTGGTATGAAACTCTTTATTTGCAAGAGTTAAATTTAAGAGTTAAATTAGGTATCACCATTAGTCTCATTTGAGCTTAGAATTTTTTTCATTCTGAGTTTTAGACTTTATTAATATTTACAAGCTAATGTATTTTAGATGTTTGATTGGGGTCTGAAATGAGGCTAAAAGCTTTATTTTTTTATTTTTTATTATTATTATTCTTTATTATCAACAGAGGTTAGGGTTTGAGTTAATCCACCCGTTAGTATGCTAGTATAGCTTGTTAACACAATCAACGGGCAACAGCAATCAAAATAGGATTTTAAGTAACAAATCTATCGTTTGACAAAAAAATAAATATATTGTTTGGACCTAAATTTACGCTATCGGCCCATACAATCAATGCCGTTAGATGAGTAAAGTTCTAGACCGTTGGATGATAAAGTGGTTGAGATAATTTTCAATTATTATTAAGGAATAATATTGTGGTTTTAATCATAATATTATCTCTTAATATATATTGGATTATCTAAGCCTAATATTGGCTATATCCAGCGGATCGTTTAAAGATAAATGATATCTAAAAGATAGGTTGTTGCTTACCTTGAGAAGTCTTTGACCTAGACTCTAGCTGATGAGTTTGAATTAAAATCAAATTCTACACAAGTGAAGCCGCACCACACATCTGCTTCTATAAATACAAGGCTGCGAACACCATAGAGAAGACCTCCAATTCAACACACAACTGCCCTGCGCAAAACCTCTCAAACATCTTGAGATTTTTTATTTTCTTTTTTCCGCCGACACATCTTCAGTTTGGATAAACAGCACTGTGAAGGCAACCGGCGAACATCTTCAGTTTGGATAAACAGCACTGTTGCCGTAGAATCAGCCGTTCCCGAAGCACCTTCAGTTTGGATAAACAGCACTGCGTCGAGGCCGACTGGTTATCTATCCAAGTCTCGGTCGAGAAGGATTTTCAAATCCTTATTGGCAGAGGTCATCTCATTAGCCTTCTCGGCGAAGTGAGGTGTTACCAAGTTACTACATTCGGCACCCTGAGAGCCGAATTTGATATTGAACTTCGTAGAACTAGCAGCCTTGTCTTCAGGCTCGAGAATCCAAAGGCCGAGATTTGTTCCTTCCTCGGCCGCAATCGTAAGATAAAGAAGTCACCGACGCGCTCAACGCAACATCAACAAATTTTACTCCTCGGCCGAGCTCGGCCGACGAGTTGGCACGCCCCGCATTCAACCGAAGGACGTAGTTAGCTTATTAGTTACTTGGCCTGCGCGCCACGTAGGTTTTGTAATTTTTAGGGTCAACATTTTGGCACGCCCAGTGGGACCCAGTGCTAAAACTACGAAGTTCATATGATATATCAAGATTCCAATCTGGCTCAACGTAGCCGATTGTACGAGCGCCTAGAGGAATTGAAAAAACACAATGAAGAACGGAAAAGATCTTTGGAAGTGGAAAAAGTTCTTCGTGGCCATAAAGAGTTGCAAAAGTCATTCGCTTACATGTTGAGAATAAAAGCTCATGTTGCCCTGCAAGAGCAATGGGTAAATGAAGACAGGGCTCGATTTAATGCCTGGCTAGATGGAAAATATTTTCCTTACGTTTTCGACTACAAATCAATTCCATTTGAGGAATGGTTGGTTGAAAAGACTGGGGGGCAATTTTCCGCTTCGGCCGTAATCAGACATCGGCTTAAGAAAATTGTTCATGTGGTCGAGGAACAAAGGCCACCTATTTTTTCGGTCGAGACTGAAAGTGTGGTAGGCCTAGAAGAAAATGCTCAAGTTTCTGAGCCAAGAATTGACTCAGAAAATGTTTCTTTAGAGGAGTGTTCCAATGACGAACAATACCGATACACGACTTCGGACCATAAAACCACATCAATTGATATGGTAATTGGAGACATGGTTTTAGATGCCGAAACTACGCCAATCAATATGATTATTAGTGATAACACCGATATAGAGAAATCTCATTCGGCTAAGTTGTTTGAATTAAAAGCCGAAATTATGCGTGTGGGGCATAATAATTGTTCAACACATTCGGCGGCCGAAAATGAAAAAATTTTCACCAAGTTACAAATATTTGGAGAAAATTCTTTATTTGGCCTAGAGCGAAATCAATTTGAGAATTTTGATATTATAAGATCTCGGCTTGGAATAAAGCATCGTTGGCCTCCTCCTATTTATGGTTCGGCCACTTTTATTTTCATGTGCTAAATTACTTTCTTAACCATTCGGCCTCTTGGCCGATACTTAAGAAAATACAGGGGGGGCAATGAGCATTGAGCCCCCGGGGGGAAAAAAAAAAGGGTGATAGAAATATGCATGCCCGACAACATTATTCCAAAGCCAATGGGCCAAGTTTTGATTTTGTTTTTTGTGGCTTTGGATTCATATATATGTGATGATGGTCTTCGGCCACTTTAAGACCTCGGCCGACAATGAAGTTCCTCGGCCACGAAACGTTTCTAGCTAATGTTCCTCGGCCCACTTTACAAAACGATATGGCCGAATACAATTCTTTGGCCGAATAAAAGAAAGTTTGGCCGAATACAATGGGATATATATGTATATATATATATATATATCGGTTCTACACCCAATTCTTCTTGGCCTCGGCCTCGGCCCACTTTACAAAACTATTTGGTCGAATACAATTCTTCGGCCGAATAAAAGAAAGTTCGGCCGAACTATTGACCCCAAATTATTTTTCCTACCCCCTAATTCTTCTCGACCTTGGTTCATGATTGCTTATCACTTCTCTTCAACCATGAGTTGTTCTTTGGTCAAAAGAAGCCAGGATCATGTTCTCTCGGCTCAACACAGCAACAGGTTTCTCTCGGCCTGATAAGTAGGTGGTCGAGGTACTCCTGACTGGCTGGAAAGACTTAATTTCCTTAACCATTCGGCTTATGGGCCGAAGCTCAAGGAAACTGGGGGGCAATGTTTGGACCTAAATTTACGCTATCGGCCCATACAATCAATGCCGTTAGATGAGTAAAGTTCTAGACCGTTGGATGATAAAGTGGTTGAGATAATTTTCAATTATTATTAAGGAATAATATTGTGGTTTTAATCATAATATTATCTCTTAATATATATTGGATTATCTAAGCCTAATATTGGCTATATCCAGCGGATCGTTTAAAGATAAATGATATCTAAAAGATAGGTTGTTGCTTACCTTGAGAAGTCTTTGACCTAGACTCTAGCTGATGAGTTTGAATTAAAATCAAATTCTACACAAGTGAAGCCGCACCACACATCTGCTTCTATAAATACAAGGCTGCGAACACCATAGAGAAGACCTCCAATTCAACACACAACTGCCCTGCGCAAAACCTCTCAAACATCTTGAGATTTTTTATTTTCTTTTTTCCGCCGACACATCTTCAGTTTGGATAAACAGCACTGTGAAGGCAACCGGCGAACATCTTCAGTTTGGATAAACAGCACTGTTGCCGTAGAATCAGCCGTTCCCGAAGCACCTTCAGTTTGGATAAACAGCACTGCGTCGAGGCCGACTGGTTATCTATCCAAGTCTCGGTCGAGAAGGATTTTCAAATCCTTATTGGCAGAGGTCATCTCATTAGCCTTCTCGGCGAAGTGAGGTGTTACCAAGTTACTACATTCGGCACCCTGAGAGCCGAATTTGATATTGAACTTCGTAGAACTAGCAGCCTTGTCTTCAGGCTCGAGAATCCAAAGGCCGAGATTTGTTCCTTCCTCGGCCGCAATCGTAAGATAAAGAAGTCACCGACGCGCTCAACGCAACATCAACAAATTTTACTCCTCGGCCGAGCTCGGCCGACGAGTTGGCACGCCCCGCATTCAACCGAAGGACGTAGTTAGCTTATTAGTTACTTGGCCTGCGCGCCACGTAGGTTTTGTAATTTTTAGGGTCAACATATATACATATATATATATATATAGGAGCATTTAATTATATTTCGTATTTATTAGCATGTGAACAACTGAGTAGCTAATTACCCATAAATTTACAATTTCGATCATATAAAACCCAAAACTCAAATATAAGAGAATTAATTAATTATATGACTGGAGTTCAATTTAACTTCTTAAAGCGATGAGAAATGTAGCATTACAATGACATGTGAGAGAGAGATTTTTAATTGACTTGCTTCAAGTAGAGATTTGCAAATCCCTTTTACACATGTATTTTTTTTTAATAATCATGAAGGATATTTATAATCCTTTCTATATAATTTTTTTTGTTATATTCTGTAATAACTTTACCTCATTCTCTTGAGACTTGAAAATTCATCCCCCAAACATAGCCTCATAAAAAATTAATATAGTCCAAATAAGAAATAAATGAAACATGAAACAATGTGAAAGCGACTATAATACAATGTTAACAAGATAAGAAATAAGTGAAACATGAAACAATGTCCAAGCGACTATAATACAAGGTTAATAAGAGAAATGATAAGGAGACTCTCTCAAAGTAGGACTCTATGTGGCCTCTTTGCCATCTCACAATTTAACGTTAATTGTCATACCAACATTATAAACTAGGTTTCAAAAACATGAAGTGATAGATAGTCCATAGAGATTCCTAGAGTTTACGAGAGTCTCATTAACATTTCTCATGATAACAATATCTTGGTTGGACTTACTTTTCAAATTACAGAGACTAATAGTTTGTCATAGAACAATTTAGAGAAGTGGGTTGAGCTAAATCTCTCAGTGGACCAATAATAATTTAGTTCAAACTCGTCATTTGTAGAGTCGAACTAAGACCCTTCTCTTTTCAAATTACAAAGACTAACATAAAATTTTACCAAAATATGATAGACATAAAACATGTTTTTTGTCTTGTCTTATCATTAGTTTGGGCAAAAATATAGGGACTTACTAC